AACTGCCTTCTCTAGTATTATGGTGGAGAAAGCATTCTGCACCAGCTGTCCTCACGGGAGTATGACCATGAATAATTAGTTATAATGTTTGATTTATTTTTTTACTACTTATAGATTTTTAAAACCCAAGTCAGATATAAATCCTAATACTAAAATAACTTGATTTGCCTCAGTTACGTTTTGCTGACTGAAAATGGAATTCTTGCAACTCCAATAGTGGGCTTTGAAAATAAACAACATAATTCAGATGGAAAACATAAAGTTTACATAATGTACCACAGAAAAAATGCAGAATTGTATGAGATTTTTATTTCCTTCTCAAATTCTTAGAATTTCACAAGTATTTTACTGACAGTATTTTAGAGAGGAAATATTTAGTGCTATGTTGTCATAAGAAAATGATTCAAAGAATGAATAAATGCATTATTTTTATATGACACTTTTTTCATGAAAATAAACCTGAATCCTGTATTTTAGTTGTAAATGCATAGAAAAATTATGCTCTTAATAGATTCCATTGACAATAGTGCTCTAAATTTACATTTTTTGTTTGTTTGTTTGTTTGTTTGAGACGGAATCTCACTCTGTCACCAGGTTGGCGTGCAGTGGCACGATCTCGGCTCACTGCTGCCTCCGCCTCCTGGATTCAGGTGATTGTCCTGTCTCAGCCTTTTGAGTAACTGGGACTACAGGTGCGTGCCACCACACCCAGTTAATTTTTATATTTTTAGTAGAGATGGAGTTTCTCCATCTTGGCCAGGATGGTCTCGATCTCCTGACCTCGTGATCCACCCGCCTCGGCCTCCCCAAGTGCTGGGGTTACAGACGTGAGTCACTGTGCCCAGTCTATGCTTTCTTAATATAAGGACTACAGTCTGATAAATATCTATATTCATTTTTCCATGCGACTTTTAAACCTAACAGAAACGCTTTCTGTTAAAAAAGTAATAGCGCTTTCTCCACCATAATACTACGGATGGCAGTTTTGTGTCAGTTGGTAAAGGAGAGAGAAAGTTTTGAAAATGGGAAGACAGCAATTTCCCATTATGACCAAGTGTTTTCTTGTAGAAAATTATTCCCAAGCCCGTCATTTCTAACATGTGTTTCACTTGTGTAACCACTAATCTGCATCCATGATCTGATTGCTCTGCCAAATAAATTTACATGAATTCAAGTAATGAGTGATGTCCATTACATGTAATAATATGGTGTAGAGACACAAAAGACTGATTGAATCAATAGAACAAGATCCTGATGCAGGCTAAGGGTTTAAATTACACGTGAGATGATTTATGTCAAGATAACGGATTCCATAGCAAGTGCAATTAAAATTCCAATGAGTCATTTATGTTAGGTTTTAAAGTTGCATGGCAAAATGTATTTCTTGTTTATTCTCATCATAAGCCTATGAAATTCTTCTCTTCCAAGAGCGCCCTCTGGCTAATCTGGTATAGGTGAGATGATTAGGATGGGATATATTCCAGGTTCAATAATTGCTCATCAGGAATCCTATATTCACCACCCGAGGCATAAAATTCCTGCCCCGTTTCCTCTTACTCAAGCTGGGCTCTCGGCTCTAAATGTAGAGACGCACATCCTTCTCCCTGTGAGGCCATTGGACAGAGTGCTCTAATGAGGCTCACTCACCCGGTGCCAGCGGAGGGAAGATCCCAGCACTTGCATCGAACATTCTTGAACAATTATCCTAGAAACAACAGACACCAGACCGCTGTTGAAGTGGCTCAAGACCACTTTTTATTTGCAGGCTCTCCGCATGTCAGTGCTTGTGGGGATGGGGCTGTTTCTTTCTCTAGATTGATTGACTGGGAGGGAGCCATGCAGAATGGCACTCACCTTTCAAAGATGCATCCTAGACACACATTTCTACATCATCAGGGTCCTTCTGCTTTCTCAGGGTGGCATGCACTACGCAGTGTTTCCCGGCCCAAGGTCCCAACTTCCACCGCGAGATCCTTATTCACATCAGTATAGGCAAATATGACTTCATCTTTCTTTGTCTTCCTTCCAAGGACAATTGATGTCACTTTGCTCACAGGATAAACATACCTCTCCCCGACTGGCTATTTCCACACCCCTGCACCCACCAGAGGACTTGCATATTGTCCCCTAGGAAGGACCTTCTCTTGTCAGTCTGAGATCAAATCTCAACTACAACCTTGCCTTCACTAATCAGGACTCCTGTATTCAATTTCTCAAAATGAGGCTCTCCGCTCAGCTCCCGGGGCTACTGATGCTCTGGGTGCCTGGTAAGCACAAAAAGAGATGAGTGTGGAGCATGGGGTGGAAGGATGAGCTCTGGGACTCCACAGTGTCCCATGCTTATTCTGACCAAGAGTTAGAGGTGTATGGCTTATGTTTCAGGGAAGGGAATTTATAATTTGCCCTGTGAATAATTAGAAACCATCTGAAAGGAACAACGACCAGTACTCTGAATACTATCTTGAAAAATAAAAGGATCTCTTGTACCTAGTAAATAATGGGCTCATTGTTAAAAGTTTACTTTTTGTGATGTGAATCAAAATTATTTTTAAAAAAATAAATAAATATTATAAGCAAAATGTTTTTAAGCTCATAATGTTTTTACACAACTTCGTACTTTTCTCTCATTGATTCAGGATCCAGTGGGGACATTGTGATGACCCAGACTCCACTCTCCCTGCCTGTCATCCCTGGAGAGCCGGCCTCCATCTCCTGCAGGTCTAGTCAGAGCCTCCTGCATAGTGATGGATACACCTATTTGCACTGGTACCTGCAGAAGCCAGGCCAGTCTCCACAGCTCCTGATCTATTTGGGTTCCAACTGTGCCTCTGGAGTCCCAGACAGGTTCAGTGGCAGTGGGTCCGGCACTGATTTCACACTGAAAATCAGCAGAGTAGAGGCTGAGGATATTGGCATTTATTACCGCATGCAAAATCTACAAATTCCTTCCACAGTGCTACATCCTCAAAAAGAAACCTCCCTGCTGGGGTTGCCCAGCTGCTCACATGCACCGCTTTTCTGGGTAGGAGCTCCGCTGGGTCTCTGCGTTTGTAGAAGAGGAGGCTGTTGGTGAACTCAGGGTCAGAGTTTGCTGCTAATGACTCTGGCCCATGAATCCTCAATTGTACCTTAATCTCATATGTTAAGGCCCCATCAGCTGCCATCACCTGGGAATGACATCAGCAGTAGGAGAATTCAGTTGGCCACATGCCCTGTGAGCAAGCAGCTATGACGAAAAAAGAATGAATAAAATCTTATCCTCACCCTCCCTGTCTTGCCCACATTTTTCAAATACATTTGGTTGGCAGAACAACGAGTCCATGGATGCAGATTAGTGACAACACAAGGGGAACACATTTTGGAAATTGCCAGTTTAGGGTGTAATACTTGGTCATATTGAGATACTGTTTTTGTCCCACTTTACCAAAAACTTTGTATCTCTTTTATCAATTATAAACTACACTGCCCTCTCCAGTGCCATGCTGAGAAAGCATTCTACACAAGCTGTCCTCAGGGTAGGATAGCTAAGAATAATTAGTAAAAATGTTTGATTTTTGGCTATTCATAGGCTTTGTAAATTGACGGCAGATATAAGACTCTAATGCCAAAATATTTTAATTTTCCTCAATTACCTTCTTTCCAGTGAAACAAAGTTCTTGCAATTCCAAAAGTGAGTTTTGAACATAAATAGCATATTCAAAGATGTAGAACACAGACTTTACTAAATGTAATAATGTATCATGTTTTTCTTCTTCACCCCAATTTTAAGAATTTCAAAAGTATTTAACCTAAGTGTTATTTTAGAGATGACACATTTACTATGATGCTCTCATAAGAAAATATTTCAAATAATACAAAAATATTTTATCTTCATATTACTTCATCATTACCAGAAAATGAACAGAAATCCTTTCTTTTAGTTGTAAAAGCACAAAAAACTTATGCTTTCAATTGATTCCACTGAAAATAGTGTCCTGAAGTTCTATCAAAATTAATGATGAGTCATGTCAGTTACATGACAGAACATGGTGTGACAGAAACAAAAGAATGATTGAAGCAACAGAATAAGAAGCTCCTGCTTCAGGTGTAGGGTTTAAAGTGTATTTGAGATGATTTTCAACTCCAAGATAATGAATTTCATGGCAAGCACAATTAAAATTTCAGTGTCATTTTTGTTAAATTTAAAACATGTGTGGATAAATTTATATAGAAATCAATCAAACTGGAGTAATCAAATTAAAAAGCACAACACATAATACGCTATTTAAAAGTACTACTAAATGCAACATGGAGCTTAAAAGATATGAAGTATTACAGAATGCAGTGGGAGACAACAAAGTGTGAGTAGCTAGAGCAGGAGGTGAGCAGCCATCGTCATCGTTAGCCCTCATGTGATTGACAGCACCTTGTCACTATAGAATCTGCTTTGATGTGAGACAGGGAATAAGTTCTAAAACCACTCCAAGGTGGTTGGATACACTTAAAAAATGAACAAGCTCAAAATTTGTATGATGGTGATATCCCAAGGGGCTACACTCTTAAATCAAAATGTTGAAAATAAATGATTCCAAAAACTGAAAGTGGACACCAAGCGGAATCAGAAGACAATCAAATTGCCAATTACAAAGCAGCCTCAAGATATGGTGGACTAAATATGACAAGATTTCTGTGTCTGTGACATGGCAAGTCAGAAACAGGCAGGTGGCCTTGATGGTGTGGGTAGCTCTGCTTCATGAGATCACTCAGGTGGGCAGGAGGCACGACCACTCTCAGAGCACAGCCACCCTCCTTCCTCACAGTGTCTGCCCCGATGCCCATCCTCAGCAGCAAGAGTGGAACAGAGTGGAGAGAACTCTGTTTTCTTCTAAAGATAAAAGAAAATTTCCATCAAATTTAACAGCAGATAGATTTGAGGGGACACAGTGAAACCATAGCACTGACTGAGGGAAGGCTCATTCCAAGCCCTGTGGTCTGCCATGCATGCAGGCAGAGCTGCCTTTCTCAGACACAGCAGTGAGGGGCAGAGATGGCCATGGGGAATCAGCAGAAGCACAGTGAAAGGGAAAGGTCTGGGTGCAGACACAGACTGATGCATCCATCCAGAAAAAAAGCACCTGTATCTTCCACCTGAAGCTGAATCCCTCTGGAATGATGTTTCTTGGCAGGTCAGTTGCAAGTCAAGGAACCTGGGAAATAACATCTCCAGATGTGCTGCATTTGTGTCATGTTTATTTTAAACTGAAAGCATTTAGAAAACATCAATTGGACAAAGTCTCTTTTACTCCAGAAGGAAGCCAATTGTCATGAAAACCCTCCCTGGGAATGTTGATATGTCAGGAAATATTAACATGCACTAGGAGTTAAATTCAAAAGAGATTGGAAGTTGACTTCATCCAGACAGGGTATTACCTATTTTTTGAGGACTTATTTATTTTATTTTACATCATTTACTCTCTCTAGGTTGCTTACAGTCCCCACCTCCCTCTCCCCTATGAAGGGTGTATAAACACCTGGATCTCACTGGGTTTTCTGGATAATCTCTCTCCTTTGATAATTCCTCTGCATGTTAAATAAATTTGTTTGCCTTTTTCTCCTATTATTTACTTTGTGTCCATTCATTTTAAGCAAACCTTTAGAGGGCAAAATCAAATTTTCACATTTCACCCTACACAAGCAAGTTTCCTTAAAATTCAGGCCCCTGAATGGGCAGCAGGAGGGCGTGTGCAGATGCTACACCAGAGTCATTTGGCCACTTCTACTCAGGCATCACTAATACTCCCCAGAACCCCAGGCTGCAGCCCACTGATGCTGATGTAGGTGAATCCACTTCCTCTGCTGCTGAACCAGGCTGAGATGATGTGAGATATAATGGTTCCAAATCTCTGTCCAGTTTTATCCAAATCCAAGTGATTTCTCCATATACATGGGCATTTGCTTGATAGGAGATGGAGACTCTCTGTCCTGGATATCAGACAGGAGGCTGGCATCTTGATCAGAATGTCCCCACTTACTGCTAAACAGTGAAAGAGGAAAGTGCCTTTGATAGTGCAAGGCAGGGACATGCACTGAGCAGCAGCTGCCCTCACTAGGAGAGAGGGTTCACTCTACTGATCTTTCCCAAGTTCTCTCCTTTACATGCTCTCCAGAAATTCAGGCTCCAGAGGAGCAGCTCCAGAGCCCCCAGGAACACGCTGGTGAGCAGTGCTGCTCAGAGCATTACTCAGTGGATATAATACTGGTCTTTTTATTTTAGAGACAATTGATCCTTAGATAATTTCGAGTTTATCTTAATCCATGGTCCTATAATTGGATGAAGAAACAAGTAACTTTTTTTTGAAGTAATCAGATCTGGCATCACTAGTGAGCCCTTTCTTCTTATAAACCCTGGGAAAAATATCCAATGACAGAAAAGGAGGTATAATAGAGAGATCCCCAAAGCAAAAATAAGATGCAGCTCGTATAATGTTTGGGCATTACTGAGGCCTATAAGTTTGCATAATGGTGGAACTGTGAGTGATACATGCTTTGAGGACTTATAGCACCATTTTTGTGTACCTGCAGTGAATTGCTTGACCTTGCACTGATAATAAGAATGGCTTAAGGTTATTATAAAATACTTACAAATATACTTAGCATTATCTCAATACATATTTTTCTTCATTTTTTTAAGAAGGAATAAATTTACACTCACAGAAATGTTGTAAGCATAGCACAAAGTACCCCCTTCCCTTTCAGAGTGTTTTGAAGACACGCTGATTCCACACTCTAAAAACTTTACTTTGAGTTTCCTACAGAGAAGAATATTTTCCCAAATAATCCCCATATGCCAATGGAATGCATTACTCCTTCAAGTACTCAGCAGTATTTCAAATTTTGACAATTATCAAAAAATGTTCTTTGTTACAAATTGGCCCCCAGGAAGAAACAGATTAAAGACAAATCTGGGTTGCCCTGGTCTGACCTGAGACCCTGGGGACACTGTCCCTGTGCTGAGTTACTGAGATGAGCCAGCCCTGTAGCTGTGCCCAGTGGGTCCCATCCCCTTCTGATTCGCATGTTCCCAGAGCACAGCCCCCTGCCCTGAAGACTTCTTAATAGGTTGATCACACTCTGTGCAGGAGTCAGTCTCAGTTAGGACACAGAATGGATGTGGGATTCCCTACTCAGTTCCTGGGGCTCCTGCTGCTCTGACTCTGAGGTAAGGAAGGAGAACTCTGGGAGTTTACTCAGCCACTGTGTTCAGGACTGGCTGGATTTTTGGGGAGGGCTTCTTATAACCTGATTGATTGTGTGGATGTTTGTTTTTATGTTTCCAAACTCAGGTGCCAGATGTGACATCCAGATGACCCAGTCTCTATCCTCCCTGTCTGCATCTGTAGGAGACAGAGTCACCATCACTTGCCGGGCAAGTCAGGGCATTAACAATGAGTTAGCCTGGTATCAGCAGAAACCAGGGAAAGCCCCTACACTCCTGCTCTATTCTGGATCCAGTTTGCATACAGGGGTCCCATCTCAGTTCAGCGGCAGTGGATCTGGGACAGATTTCACTCTCACCATCAGCAGCCTGCAGCCTGCAGCCTGAAGATGTTGCAACTTATTACTGTCGACAGGATTATACTACCCCGTCCACAGTGTTACAAGCCATAAAAAAAAAACCCCAGAGAAGCAGATGTGTGAGTCCGCACTGCCCTAGCTACTCCTCCTGGTGCCTCCATCTGCTGAGAACATTTCCCAAATAGCATCCACACTTTGAAGGTCATTGGAAAGTTTTTGTACAAGGTACACTGAAGCCTCTTCTTTAACTTAACTGTTTCCTTCTCCTCATCCCCAGCAGCACAGACATGGCAAAGCCTCTTCTGATTGCATTAAGAACAGAGATGATTATGCCTGAGAAGTCTGAGTTGTAGTGTGAATTGGAATTAATATCATAAAGGAGACAGCACTCTTGGAATTCCAGGTAGAATTTTTTCTCAATACAGGAAATGGAAATCTAAACTATAGTCTTTAAAGTCTTGGGGGCATGGGAGTAAAGATGCAAATACTAAAAAAGAAGGATTCTCTGGATTTTGCCATGAATCCAGAGTGCATCTGTCACAGAAGGTATAATTGCCAACCATATTGTCCTCAGACATATCTGGGAAGCCCTGGTTTGGGGCTGCTGATGGTCTCTGCCTGGAGAACCTGCCTGATTTTCTAAGGCATCTGCTTACAGTTGACCAGCAAGGGTCCTATTGCAAAGAGACCTAGCAAAAGAGAATGATCAGAGTAAAAGGTCAATTTCTTCCAGTGCCCGCCTGGTCCCATTTTCCCTGAACCCTCCCTGTTACTTATATAAACCCTTTCATGGCTCTTTCCACTGACTCACTGAGCTCCGGACTCTCTGGTTTCCTGGTTCTGCCCTAAACAAGCCTCACACTGCCACGCCCTTGGATCTCTAATCTCATTGCTTTCTCAGTGGTGATGCTTTTCCCCTGATATTTCATGGACTTCATCCCCCACTTCCAAAGCCAACCCAGAGATTCTCATCTTAATGATCCCTCTGAATGTGTTCATAAGACACTCTACTCCACACTTCTGTCTGAAGCACTTTTCACGTTCTGACTCATGATATAATTTATTTCCTTATGATTTTACACTTGATAGACTGACTCCCTCTAGTGGAATTTAAGCTTCATGGGGTCAGGGGCCATTGTCTATTATTTGCATTGCTGTATCCCAGTGTAATGGGAGCACCTGGAAAACAATAGGTGCTCAGTGGGGGGCCACTCTTCCCAGGAGTCTACGTGTCTAGAAGTCTGGGAGGACTGTAAAGAGTGGAATAAACTGTTTCTTACATGGACAATGTTCCCTTTTCCTTTTTTCATTCCTTTTTCATACTCAGTCTTTCGGAAATAAGGAAAATTACAATTCTCAGAACTTATGTAATCTGTCTCAAGTGATATTTTAGGTTGTATTTCCTAAAAACATACAATAATAAAATAACATTATTGTACTCAATTGATTACATTATATTTCATATATAATGATATATAATGTATGCTACATAAGTTATAACTACAGTAAATTCATTGACTTCCCATTTAAAAGACAAAAGTTATCAGATTATATCAGGAGTCAGATAATTGATATTTCAGTTTTGTTAGCCAAGAAAGAAAACTGAATACATTACCTAGATATTTAAATAAGAAAGAAAACAAATTTCTGCAATTGTTATTAATAATTTTAAATGGAATGTAATTCAAAGAGCTTCTCAGCCTGTTCAGGAGAACCTCACTCACCACTACTTGTTCACAATTCTGAGGAAAACAAGAAAACGCCAGATAAGATTCTCGTTTCCATCAGTGGTGTGAAAAGAGGTTTTCAAAACTGTTAAAGGGAAAAGAGTCTGTGGAAAACAAGAAAACACCAGATAAGATTCTTGTTTCCATCAGTGGTGTGAAGAGAGGTTTTCAAAACTATTGAAGGGAAAAGAGTCTGAGTCTGGGTGAATGGCTGTGTTGTGCAGAATGGAGTGCCCTAGAGAAGAGAAGATGCCACCCCCAATTTTTCCTGGCCAGCAGGACAGCACCATCATCACTCTGCAAGGAGTAGAATCACACACTGAAGAGTCTGAGCCTAGAGTCTGCTTATCTTTGCAGCTGTTGTCACTCATTCGCCCACAGTGCTTGGCCTAATAAAGTGATGTCCTTTTTTAGTTCTTCCAAAGAATGGAAAAATGTTCAGGGCTCATAGAAAAGATATCTAAGCTGTGAAGGAAAAGTGTGTATGGAAAATGAATTTCTGATCAATGACTTCAGGCAGGTACAATCATGCAGCCAGGAAAATGACTGGGCATGTTGGGGGAAGAAAGAGAAAAATAAACCACAGATTTTAATTTTTTTTCTCCCGGGAAGTTTGTACTAAACACCGTCTGTCTGAGCCTAGGTAACTGGTGAGGTAGGAGGACAGGGATTAAATTGTGTGTCCAGAGGGGAAAAGGTCTACCCCCATGCTGAGCCAATAGCTTTCTGACCTGACCACCTAGGCAGGGGCTTCTCAGTGCAAAGAAGAGGAGGTAGGTGGTCTCTGCAGAAGCACAGCACTTTCCATGCTTCTTTGCATGTTCCTCCTAGCCATGCTGCTGTTCAGCGCTCATATCAATGTCTGGGTCAGAACTCAGGGGAAGAACGGCTCAGTTAGGACCCAGAAAGACTCACGGAAGCCCCAGTTCATCTTCTCTGCCTTCTGTACTCCAGCTCCTAAGTGAGGGGAAGGGTAGATAGCTCTGCACTGAAACTCAACCTTGTTGGTTCCTCTGACCTGACATCCCTGCTGAGCAAGAACAGTAATTATAATTCAATGTAAATCAGTGATTGTGGCTATACTATGAGGGTGGTGCACTTCATGCAGCTTATGTGCGTGGCTTTCCTGTTATATTCCTATCTCAGGTCCTCCAGAGAAGTTATGTTGATGCAGTCAACTGACTCCTTGTCTTCATCTTCAGGGAACAGAGACTTCCTCATGTGTGTGTGCAGTCAGAACACTGGGAACTCTTTAGCTTGGTATCAGCAGAAACCTGGGAAGGCCCCCTGGTTCCTCATCTATGGTAGATACAACAGGGCCACTACCATCCCAGAGGGGTTTAGTGATCATGGGTCAGAGACAGACTTTAGTGTCACAATCAGCTGCCTGGAGCCTAAAGATTTTGCACTGCTTTGTCTTCTTTGATCTTTGTTGGTTTAAAATCTGTTTTGTCAGAAACTGGAATCTCTACTTTTTTTGTTTTCCATTTCCTTGGTAGATTTTTCTCCATTTCTTTATTTTGAGCCTATATGTGTCATTTGTCATTGCATGTGACATGGGTCTCTTGAAACAGCATACCAATGAATCTTAGTTCTTTTCCCAGCTTTCCACACTATGTCTTTTAATTGGAGCACTTACCCCATTTACATCTAAGGTTAGTGTGAATATGTGTGGATTTGATCCTGTCATCATGTTAGCTGCTTATTTCACAGACTTGTTTATGTGGTTGTTTTATTGCATCACTTGTCTGAGTACTTCAGTGTGTTTTTGTAGTGGCTGGTAATGGTCTTTCCTTTCCATATTTAGTGGTTCCTTCAGGAACTCTTGTAAGGCAGGTTTAGCGGTGATGTATTCCCTCAGCATTTGCTTGCCTTAAAAGGATCTTATTTGTCCTCACTTATGAAGCTTAGTTTGACCGGATATAAAATTCTGGGTTGGAGCTTCTTTTCTTTGAGAGTATTGAATATTGACCCACAGTCTCTTCCAGTTTGTAGGATTTCTGCTGAGAGCTCCACTGTTAGTCTGTTGGGCTTTTATTTGTGTGAGAGCTGGCCTTTCTCTCTAGCTGCCTTTAAGGTGCCACCTTGGAAACAGGAGCAGCCCTCACCAAACACTGAGATTGCCAGTGGCTTTACCCTGCACTTCCTTGTGTCCAGAACTGTGAGAAAATTAATTTGTGTTGTTAATTAACATCCAGTTTCATGTGTTTTTTTTTTAGTACAAGTGTTTTGAGAAAATCGTTGTAGAACTTTTATTGTAAATTGAGTGACTATATATATATATGCAGAACTGGTTTCAGATTCTCTAACTCATTGTGCTATGTTATCTGTCTCATCCTTCACTAAAACAATAAATTTAAAAAAAATTTTTTAATTAATTATTTTAGTATTTTTTGAGACAAGGTCTTGTTTTGTTGCCCAAACTGGAGTGCAGTGCTGCAATCTCAGCTCACTGGACCCTCTGTGCCCCAGGCTCAAGGGATCTTCTTACCTAGCCTCTCAAGTAGCTGAGACCACAGGTGTGCACCACCATGTCCAGCAATTTTTTTTTGTATTTTTTGTAGCAGTGGGGTTTCACCATGTTTCACAAGCCGATCTCAAACTCCTGAGCTCAAGCTATCCACACACCTCAGCCTCCCAAACTGCAGAAACTACAGGTGTGAATCACTGCACCCAACCACAGTATGGTTATTTAATATAGGTTTTCATTTTGAGTCCTTCCATTTCTTTCTCCTTATGTAAAATTACCATGGCTGTCTTTTGCCTCTTTGCTTGTCCATCTAAGTTAGAAACATCTTTTCGATTTCAACAAAAATCCCCAGTGATTTTGATTGTCACTGTATTGAATTAATTTGGGGACAGCTGTTATGCTTACAATATTAAGTTTTCTAATATGTATACATGGAATCAGTTTTCATTTATTGGGTCTCCTTGATTCTCTCTCCATTACCTTTTGTACATTTGCACATACCCTTTATAACTTTTTATTTTACCATAATATCAGAGACAAGCTGTGAAAATATTGTAAGAAATATAAAATGGACCCAGGTTCATTTGGTATCAATAACTGACTTTCTAATTCTGTATTCCTTCTATAAGTTGGTATTCTGGGTACTATTGATGCAAACAAAACAAACTACCCCCAAACTTAATGACACATGAAAAGCGCAATCATCTGCCTATCATCTCTGCTCTTCTAGATGCTGCCTGGGCTCAGAAAAGCTCCTGCCAGGTTTTCCTAAGGATGCAGTCAGAGGGTGGTTGGGGAAGGTGTCATCTCAAAGGTGGTTGACACTGGATACAGGGTTCTCAGATGGGGCTGTTTGCCGATTCATACGGCTACTTGGTTCCCTCAACACTTCCCCCACAGGAGTAGACAGAAGTTATGCAGACTAAATAGTCTCTTATAGCCTCACAAGGGAAATAGTGTTACTTCTACTACAGTCACATCCCCACCAAGAGGCAACAGAAATGAAGTGTAAAGCAGTAGGCTTAACAGGAGGAGCGCCAAAATCACACTGCTAGAAGAAACTGCACGATAAGATTTCTTGTCACAGGCATTTTGGAGGATACAAGAGGCATCAACGCACCCGTCACCAAAGCAATTCACATTTCTCCCAAATGCTAAATACTCTCAGCTCCACATGCTCAAGTATTACCCCATGATAGTGGGATAGTGTTAGGGTACCCTCAAAATGATGTCCTGGGGGAGTGATATTAACAAAATGACAGAGTAGGGGATACTAACTTTAATCTGCTCACCTCCCCTCTCACAAAAGAAACCATAAACGCACATACAAAAAGCAAAACCAACAGTTAGACAGCTCTCTAAGAAAGAAAACATCCCTTGGAGACCTCAAGGGTCCAATTAAATAAGTGCAGAAACACAGTGGACAAAAATCCCAGAATTACCATACAGAAAGCATCGCAGGGAGATGGCACATCGGAGAGTTTTGAGACGTCTAGGAGCAAAGAAGCAGGAGGCAATTGTTACCAGCCAGGAGAAAAGGCCACTGCAGTCCCCACAGCCTGCTCTGTGGAGGACCCTGCAACCTTTGCAGCTGAGGACCTCAGTATCCCCCAAGGTAGCTCCACTCTACAGCTTTCCTGATGAAGGTCCCTTAGTGTTCATTGATGAGGATCACAAGCAGCCTGTTCCACAGAGGACATTGGTGGTTTTGGCACTAAAAATACCTGCAGCCATGGACATGTACATCACCCCAGAGAGGAAGATCCTGCAATACCTTCCCTCCACATCCTCCCAAGAAGCAGCCACTGTTGTGCTGCCTGGGATGGGGCTGCCTCCCAGCCCCAACTCTGCATCATCCCAGATCCGAGCTCCAAGACCTCATCCTGTGTTGGCAACTCAGACCCCGAGCCATTTCCTTGTGGATCAGCCCCGCCCCAGGCCCAGAGCTGCTGTCACTACAAGAGCACCCACACTCCAGAGCCTGGCCCTAAGGCTGTTCTGAAAATTACCTAAGACATAACATAAATAGAAAATATACAACAACACTGTAGAGTGAACTGCAGAGAATAACCACACAGAAAGTGTCTCGGAGAGGCGGCACACCTGAGGGACCTGAGAACTATTGGCAAATGTGTCAAGAGTGATGAAACACGTTAGTCTATAACACCAAAAAAAAAAAAAAAAAGGAACTTATTCAGGATAAATATCAAGACGTGCATCAGTATACAGATCATAGTTCAAATGCTGAATCACATAGGAAGAGAAAATCTCAAATGTATTAAGAAAAAAACTGGTTCAATTTACCAGAGAAACAGTAATAAAATCCTTGTTTAACTGTTCATGGGACCAATAAAGGCAAGAAGACAGTGAGATTACATATTTAAATGCTGGGTGGAGGGGACTCAATCAAGGATTCATTATCTAGTGAAAATATGCTTCCAAAATAAAGGTGAAGTAAAAGCATTTCTTGATGAACAAAATGAAGAGAAATGATTTCTTGCAGATATGTTCCATAAGATATTTAAGAGGAAATTTTTCAGAATCACAGGAAATGACAGCAGATAGCTGAATGCACAGAAATTAATGAAGATTTCACAAATAGTGAAGAAAAGAGCAAGAGGCAAGGAAAAAACAACCCCCTAAAAAAGGTATTTCCTTCAATTTATATGAAACTCTAGTCCAGGGAAAACCAAGCTATTGTGATGAATATCTGAATTCCAGTTACCTTGAGCAGGATGGGGGAGCAGCTGTTGCCTGGGAAGGTCCACGAGGAATGAATCTGGAGAATTTGAAATATTCTATAGATTCTTTGGGATCGAGAACACACATAAAACTCAGTTGCATATTTAACACTTCAGCCCTTTGCGCTGTGTGTGTATTACCTCAATAAAAAAATTGAAAAAGCTAATTCTAGACTCAAACAAATAAGAACAAAGAAAGAAGAATTATCAATTATTTATGGAATCTCAGCCTTACTAAGGAGGAGTGAAAAATGCACCTGGGAAGAGCTAAGAAACAGGAAATCTAAGAGAGAAGATGAAAGGGACAGGGAATTTATCCTACTCATGAAGCATGGATTTTCTCTCTGTTGGTTTCCCTCCAAACAGAGAAGATACTTAAGTTATTTTTCGTACAAGAGAGGCCCCTTCACACCCTCATTGGCTCATTCCACCCCACTGCACCCACCAGGGAATTTGCATACTGTCCCCTAGGGAGGACCTTCCCTTGTGAGTCTGAGATAAACGCTCAGCTCCAACGTTGCCTTGACTGATCAAGACTCCTCAGTTCACCTTCTCACAATGAGGTTCCCTGCTGAGCTCCTGGGGCTGCTAATGCTCTGGGTCCCTGGTAAGGACAAAAGGGAAATGAGGGAGGAGATTTGGGTTGGAGGGTGAGCTCTGGGGGCCCCACTGCCTCTCATGTGTGTTCTGTACATGTGTTAGATGTGCTTACATTGTCCTCCAGTGTGGGGCGGGTGATGTCCTGATCTGTGAGAGTGAGGAAGGTTCTAGAAAAACCAAGGGCCTGTGCCCTAGAGAAACTCTGACTCATGAAGAGGAGGATGAATTCGGGGACTTTTTTGTGCCTTGCATCTGTAGAGTCCTTTCTTGAAATTGAATAAGCTTGAAGTATGAATAAAAGTTGCAAAGAAATTATTAGATTGGTGCAAAAGGAATTACGTTCTGTTTGCAGTTAAAAGCAATGGCAAAACCCGTAATTACTTTTATATATAGGCTGAAATAACAAATAAAAAATTATGAACGTGATATGTAATATTTGTATGTAACCTTGCACTTCTCTCTCATTATTTCAGCCTCCAGTGGAGATATAGTGATGACCCAGACTCCACTCTCCCTGCCTGTCACCCCTGGAGAGCCGGCGTCCATCTCCTGCAGGTCTAGTCAGAGCCTCTTGGATAGTTATGGATACACTAATTTGAATTGGTACCTGCAGAAGCCAGGCCAGTCTCCACAGCTCTTGATCTATGAGGTTTCCAACCGGGCCTCTGGAGTCCCAGACAGGTTCAGTGGCAGTGGGTCAGGCACTGATTTCACCCTGAAAATCAGCCGGGTGGAGGCTGAGGATGTTGGGGTTTATTACTGCATGCAAACTCTACAAACTCCTCCCACAGTGGTACATCCTCGAACAGAAACCTCCCTGCTGGGTTGGTCCAGCTGCCCACATAGGCTGCTTGTCTGAGGGAGCAGCTGAGCAGAGTCTCTTGAGTCTGCAGAAGAGAAGGTTGTTGAAGATATCAGGGCAGGGTTTGCTGCTGAGGATGCTGGTCCATGACAGCCTCAGTAGCACCTCAGATTTCACATGTTAAGGCCCCACCAGCAGTCACAGCCTGGGGAAGGCATCAGGAAGAGAATTCATGTGGGCCACGTGCCCTGGGAGCAACCGGCTATGATGAAGGTAGAATGAATGAAAGCTCACATCCTCACCCTCCCTGTCTTGCCCACATTTGTCAAGTTCATGCAACTGTCAGAATAACCAGACCATGGATGCAGTTTAGCGACAATACCAGTATGGTAATACATATGGGAAATGACCATCTTGGGGTTTATTTCACCCACGATGACACTTAGTCATACTGGGAAATTCATACTCTCCCGTCTTCCTAATTCTTCTCTATGACTCGCACTAAACCCTCCTCTCCAGTGTCTTACAGGTAAAAGCATTCTACGCAAGGGGAGTACAACTAACACTTAGAAAAAATGTTTGATGTTGGATTATTCAAACAGACTTTGTAAACTCATGGCAGGTATGAGATCTTAATGTCAAAAGATTGATTACTCTTAATTGGTATTTGCCAAGTGAAAACAGAGTTTTCACAATTCCAAAAGTGACCTTTGAAAATAAACTGCATAAACTCAAAGATGGAAAATATAAAGTTTATTTCAAGTAAAAAAAGGAACATTCAGAATTATACGAAATTTTTATTTCTCTTCTATATTCTAAAGGTTTTGAAATAATTTAGGCTAAGTTCTATTTTAGAGTAGAAATTTATTACCATGTTTTCAAAAGAAAAGGTTTCAAAGAATACAGAAATGCATTCTTTTCACGTAACTATATCATTACCTGAAAATGAATCTGAGTTCTATGTTTCAGTTGTAAATGCATGAAGCATCTATCCTTTTCATAGATTTTTATTAAATATAGTGTTCTAAATGATATAGAACCCAATAATGAGTCACATGAGCTACATATAATAATACCATGTGATAGACATAAAATAATGACAGAATCAACAGAAGAAGATCTGCTTCAGGCTAAAGGTAGAAAGTATACTCGGATGATTGTTTATTCCAAGATAACAAATTTCACGGTAAGTGCAATTAAAATTCCAAAGTTCCACTTCTGTTAGGTTTAAAAATTGTATGGCAATATTTATATAAATATCAATCACACTGGAGCCCTCAAATGAAAAAAAAAAGTGACACCATATGTTTTTAAAATACTGAGAAATGAATCATTGAGCTTAAGAGCCATTATACAGAATTCAGTTAAGGAACACAAAGTGTATCGGGGCACAGTGACTCACGCCTGTAATCCCAACACTTTGGGAGGTCAAGACAGGTGAATCCCCTGAGGTCAGGAGTTCAAGACCAACCTGGCCAACATGGTGAAACCTTGTCTCTACTAAAAGTACAAAAATTAGCCAGGCGTGGTGGCATGTACCTGTAATTCCAGCTACTCGAGAGGCTGAGGCAGGAGAATCGCTTGAACCTGGGAGGCAGAGGTTGCAATGAGCTGAGATCAAACCATTGCACTACAGCCTGGTTAACAGGGTGACAGAGCAAAAAAAAAAAAAAAAAAAAAAAAAAAAATGCAAGTAGAATGACCCAGAGGTAAATAATGATATCGTCATCCTTAGCCCTCATGTAATTGATAGCCTCTTGCAACCTTGAATTTCTGCTTTGCTATGAGACACAAGATTAGACCCAACCCATTCAAGATGGTTAGATATCTTAAACAAACAAACAACTTATGCAATGCTGATGTAACAAAGGGCTACACTCTCAAAACAAAATGGTGAAGGGTAAACGATCCCCTAAACCTGAGAGAAGATACAAGCAGAATCAAAATGCATGGGTACAAAGAAGCCTCTAGTTGCAGTTGACCAAATGTGACAACGTTTCTGTGTCTGTACCATGGCAGTGCAGAGGCAGGTGGGTGGCCTTGGTGGTGTCAGAGACTCTGGTCCATGAGGTCACTCAGGTGGGGAGGAGGCATGACCACCCTTAGCACACAGTTTTCCTCCTTCCTTACGGTCGCTGCCCCCACGCTCATCCTCAGAAGCATGAGTGGAACAGAGTGAAGGGAAAGCTGTTTTCTTCTAAAGATCAAAAATCTTGAACTTGCAAATAGAAATAAATGTTATTTTTGCTCCAAGTACACATTTGAGAAATCTTCCATTGAGTGCACCTGATGATAAACCCACATTTTTTGTATGCTTTAATCTGAAAATCTATTTGTATGATCCTTGGAAATAATTTTTGAGTATAAATTATATTTTAGAAGCTTATTTCAAGTTGTTATTTAGCATATGATAATTACTCCCAAAATGTCATCGATTTAAAAACAAATCATCTGTTGCTCTAACTGTCCTCCACTGAAAGTAATTTCTCTATTTAACCTCATCAGATTCCTTTTAAGCTCTGAAACTCATCTTATTTTTTTTTACTGATTTGATACGTTAAGTCTATTACTTATGATAAATTTATTTATGTAATTATTTCGATATCACAAGTAGAAAAAGCCTATAAACTGTTATGCCAAAAACATGCCTCTAGATGGCAAGCAAACCCCACAATACACAAAAGGAAGAGGGCTACAGTCCCATTAACAAGTTGGAGCCCTTAAGGCGAGAATTAGGTGGAACATCTGGAACATCTGAGAGGAGACACCAGGCTGCGGAGGAGTGGGGAACCTGCTTTGTGCTCTGAGACTGAATGCCCAGCCTTGCCTCTCACCACTGCCTTGACTGTGTCCCCATCTGCTGTGAAGTGAATGGTGTCTTCTAAATTCATGCTGAAGCCCTAATTACTGAAAAGTGTAAGACATGGAATGTGGGGATTATGTGCATCTTCCTGACACCAACATGATGCTCAGGAAGGAGACTCTTGTTTTCTCTTAGGATTCTTTTACTAACGAAGATTTTGCCTCTATTGCACTTTTCCCTTTCCTGATTGTCCCTCTCTATTGACAGAGATGGCCCAGGGGATTCACTACTGACTCTCCACCTCTTACCCAAAGCCCTGAGTCTAGGGTTGCTCTTTTCCTTCTTGTTATTTTTGTTTGTTTTCTTGTTATCATCCTGGCAACAAAATAAATCACCTTTTTGTTTCTACCTATTAAAGATGTTACCTTAGTTAATTACAGTGGTTTCCTTCAGTATGATAAATGATCTTTCAAAATGATGTAAAGAGATCCAAATCCATGTTCTTCAGAAGTTGCATGAAGCTCTATCTAGCATGAGTGCCAGTGACTCTCCCAGAGTGCTCCATGCAACTGGCCCCACAGAGTCCCTCTGTGCTGTCATATCACCCACTGCCTTCTGTGAATGAGATATTCTGATTAATATCCTGGTGGATACTCTTTGAGCCAGCGCCCACACAACTCCCATGAAAGCTGAGGACCACAGACCCCTGAAGACAATCACAGGTCTCTACATTCACAGCTCATTACTGTCCTCTGCAGACACGGCTTCTCCCGAGATGACTGAGGGTAGTCATTGGCTGTGTCCTTCCTTGTGCATGACAACAGGAGACACAGAAGGTCTGTAAGCAGCCCTGCAAGCCAGGTTCCTAGCAAGCCTTCCTGTGTGGGGCCCTCTTCCTTGGACATAGGTATGTAAACCAAAAATGAAACTCTAAGCTCCCTGGCCAACTGAACGAACTCCTCCTCTCAGCCAAGAACACACCAAAATCAACCTGAAACACAGTACAGTCCATGATGGGAATGGATGATTGGATATGCCTTAACTTACGCTCTTCCCTTTAAAATTCAGACATAACTGATCATCGCTTAATATTAAGACAGAGACCTTGAGACTGACAAAGCAAACTGTCTGTTGCAATAAGATACCAACACGACAGATGCCAGGCCCAAGGAGAAATCAAAGTATTTTCCCCAAGATATTGTTATTTGGTGTATTTTAAAAATGCCTCTGCAAAGCTGTTTCTTGTGGGAAAAATCTGCATTAGGTAGAGATTCCCAACCCTTTTAAGTCTCTTTCCTGACCCAGAGCGATTTAACTGATTTAATTAAGAGTTTGGCACCTTTTACTACAATCTATTCTTGCTGAAGCCTGCTCCCTGAAGGCTTCATCTTCATGATGAAACGTTGGCTCCAAAACCCTTTTTTTAGACCCAGAAACTCCCTTCTGTTGATTACAGGTCATTAGATAAACTCTTTCCACTGTCTATGAAATCTTCGAATCCACCTATGACCTGGAAGTCCCCAACATGCCCCCTCCTTCGGGCTGTCCTGCCTTTCCATATCAAACCAATGTATAGCTTACACATATTGATTGATTATCTTATGTCTCCCTAAAATGTGTAAAATCAAGCTGTAGCCCGGCCACCTTGGGCACACGTTCTCAAGACCTTCTGAGGCTGTTTCACTTATATGTCTTTAACTTTGACCAAATAAATTTCTAAATTGATTGAGACTTTTCTCAGATACTTATTTGTTTATAGGTATCACTGTATACACTTAAGGAAGTGAAGAGATTTATGACCTTGAGAAAATGAGGAAGACAAGATGTGTGGGGAGAGAGAGAGTGAGAGAGAGGGTTTGGGCTTGTGATGTGTGTATAGGACTAAAACTGAGACCTTGATCTATGACGGTGTAGTACTGAGTATCATCCCCAAATAGTGAGGTTTCATTCCAAGAAGCATATGCCTGTATCTGATTTGGGAAATGGGCTTTTGCAGGTATAAATTAAGGAACTTGAAACAGGTAGATGATGTTAGATTAATCAAGTGGGCCCTAAATGCGAACACAAGTGTCCTGAGAAAAAAAGAGGTAGAGAGACATTTACCATAGACTGAAGAGAAGAAGGCAATCTGAACACAGATATAGACATGGCAGTAATGTGTCCACATTCAAGGAGAGCTGAAGCCACCAGAAGCTGAAAGAGCTAAATCAGACTCCTTCCTAGAGCTTCTGAAGGAGCTAGAACCGATGTCTCCAAGATCGTAGCCCAGTGAAACTGATTCTGGACTTCTGGTCTCCAGAACTATGAGAGATTCCATTCCTGTTGTTTGAAGCTACCACATTTTTGAGAACTTGTTACAGTAGCCCAAGGACACTAACACAAATGGGGCTCTGGGAAAATCCAGACTACAGGTACTGTGGTGGTTTTTCAATCTCCTTGCTTAACTTTCTGATATTAGACATAAATAGATTGGTGAAAAATTTTGTGATTGAAGAAATGCACATGAAACCTACAGTGTACAGAGAGGCATCTCTTAGTTATAAGATGAATATCGATAATTTTAGTTGAAAATGACATGACTGGTAGTATCTCACATAACATTCTGAGTTACTCAAGGGTGCATAAAAGGGGCATTAGATACTTTTCTCGTGTGTGTGTGTGTGTGTGTCTGTCTCTACATGTATGTTTACTTCATGGTGCATCAACTGGTGGAACCCTCAGGACACCCTTTCATATCCTTAGTGCCCCATTTCACACATGAGGAAACTGTTCATGAGAGCACATGGCTGATTTGCATAAAAGTCACTTGGTCAGCAGTTGTTGAAGCTGAACTTGGAATCTAGGTCTGTCTGACCTTAACTATGTTCCTTCCACAGAGCCACATTCATTCCGTAGAGGAACCCACCACCTATAAAACCAGAGAAGAGACAAAGCCAGAAGTGCAGGGTGGAGTTCTTAACCCAAGATCACTGCGACCTCTAGTCCCCATTACACTGACACTAAGCTTGAACCCAGACCCTTCTACAGTTTTGTCTACAAAGCACAATTTGCTCAAAGCCTTTACAAACACCAAGAATGTTTCCTTCAGATATGGCAGCAGGGTCACATCTTGCATGGCCCTGACTACATTTTGTCTCCTCTGCCACTCCCATCTCTCTGACTCAGTCCTCACTTCTCAGATTGGGTCCTGTACATCTAATTTGCCCTACGAATGTTAAAAAAGCAAACCCACAGCTCCCTCCTCTTCTCATGTGCTGTGAGAGATGACCTCCAGGCTCCCAGATACCAAGATTGTACAAGACCTAACCCACAAAATTACTCAAGACACTTTCTATGTAAGAAGAATTCTGGTGCTAGCTCTCCTCATAGAAAAATGTTTTCTGTCTCTTGCTGAAATTGACAGCAAAAGACAACAACACAGAAACTATTTTGGAGAACAAAGGACAGTGATACACTAGGGAAGTAAAACACACCCCTTCCCCTTGCATTGGTTTCCTGTTGCTGCTGTAACAAATTACCACAGCCTTACTGGCTCCACATAACACAAGTGTATTATCTTACATTTCTGGAGGTCAGAAGTCTCAGTGAAGTAAAATCAAGGAGTAATAGGACTCTATTCATTTTGGAGGCTTCAAGAGAGAGAATCCAATATCGAGCTTTCCATCTTTCTGATATTCCCACATTCCTGGCTCCATGGCTCCTTCCTCCATCACTCCAGCACCCCTCTCCATGGTCCCAGCTCCTCTCTGGGTGTGACCCTTCTCCCTCCTGATTATAAGGACCCCTGTGATTGTGGTTTCACCCAGATAATTCAGGATACTCTCCTGACTTCAAAATTCTTAACCATGTCTGCCAAGTTATTTTTGACATATTCATAAGTAATGATCATAGATTCCAGATATTAGGACAATGATGTCTTTAGGAGGGGTGTATTCATTCCACAAACAACTCTCATCATCCCCACAATGATCTTCCCCTAAGGTAGAATAAAAATATCACAAGGCAATAGACCTAGAAAAAACCTGAGACTCTAGGACTCTCTGACGTGGGGATGTCAAATTCTGGGGGATTCGGACTCTCTGCTCTATGTGGACTCCATGCTGTGTAGCAATTTGTGGAAGGTGTCTTTGATTTTGTGACCTAGAAAAAATGAATCTCTGCTAAAATCAAATCTAAGGAAGATTGGCAAAGGGAATTTAAAGATTTTAAAAATTGTTGGAATTTCCCTATGCATTAGAACATGAGAATTGACAATAATTCAAACCACCAATGCCTTCCAAAAATGAGGATTTTTCCAATGCATTAGGTCGGGTCCCCTCAGTGAGGATGCCAAAGATTCACATGCAGGCAGTATCTTTACAAAATGCAGGAAACAGGCAAGTGAGCAAGGGAAGGGAGGAGGGAAAGGGAAAGTGAAAGGTACCTCAGCAAAGAGCCACCTCTGAGGATGATGAGAGCTCAAGCCCACATAGAAACACAGGAAAAATATCTCTGTCATTCCACCTGAGAAGTGAGGGAGCTGGGATATGTGTACACCTCCCTTGTCATCACTGATAGATAGCCATCCTAGGGGATATTAATTCCAGGCCGTGAGGTCTGCCGCATTTGCAGCCTGAGCTACCTTCCCCAGGTTCAGATAAAGCAGTGAAGGGGAGAAAGGGCCATAGAGAGTCAGCTGAAGTATAATGACTAGAATCCCCAACGGGTAGTAACAATGACTGCTAAAATTATGCAGAAAGAAAGAAGTGTATTTGAATCCAGAGATGTATCTCTCTGAATCTGGATATCTGGATCCTGGCAACCTGTTTGGTAGCCATTTCCCAGAAATCCAGGCCCCTGGAAAAGCAGCAGGTTTGTGCACAGGCTGCACTACCTTGATCTGGCCACTGGTAGTCGTGCATGAGAACTTCTCCCTGGAGTATTTCTCAGTCCACTGATACTCATGTAATTGACTCCACTTCCCCTGCTGTTGAGCCAGGCCGACATGCCCTGGGCAAAGGCAGC